GCATTGAAGTTTATATCGTCACAACTTTCTAGGATAATGGGCATCACTGAAGATGAATATGATAATATCTTAGAAGGCTTTCGGGAGGAGTTTAAAGTTTACAAGAACGATGTTATTTACCGTCGAGTTTTTGCAAGGAAAAAGATGAATGAGGATGATTTGTAATTTTATTATTGTAAAGCATTGATAAATTTCGTAATAATAGATAGGGTGTAATTATTTATATGCGTAGTAAGCTTGAAGAGTGAATAAAAAAATAATTTTTCTTTTAAAAAATTGATATTTATTATTTAATAGATAACAACATTATGAGAATCGAAATTTTCATAAATTGTTCCTTATAGAAACTTTGTATAGCATCTTAGAACAAACTTTAAAACTTGATATTTTTCTTTACCCTAATTTTTTTAAGGTAATCGAACAGTCTCTAACAATAATAATTTACCCTCAAACTCTGTAATTATACAGTATCTATAAATCAAAAAATTTTTTATAAATAAATGATTTTTTAAAAATTATTGCGACCATCATTTAAAAAAAGTATATACTGTATATATTGATAATATTAAGAATATATTGATAAGGATTTCGATAAAATGATAATTTAATTACAAATATATCTATCTATCTAATTTGGGTTGTTTCTTTCTCTGTTTCTTGTACCGTCAATACGGTGTGATGCAAAAATTTTTAAAGCCATCATTTTTTGGTTATTTATAAATTAAGCAAAATGTATAAGATTATTGTTACTTTGACAAGTTATCTTTTATAAAAAATAAATTTCGATAAATGTGTTTTATTTTTTTTAAAAATATATATATATATATACAGTATATATTAATAAAATAATGTATTTCTATTAACAATTTCCATCAATTATCTTTTTATTATCAATACAGTATATTTATTATTTTGATGATTTTCAAATTCTAAAATCATTATTATTCATTATGGGTTGGATGTGTTTAGAATGTTCTTCAACAATTCCCCTAAATAGAAAGCATACATGAGTATCAAAATCTGATTTTTCCTTTGTGATGCTCTTTATAATTTCTGATATGTGATAGAAATTTGTACTTTGGTATTTTGTAGAATATTATAAGGGGCTGGTATGACATTCACATTTTCAAAAGTAGTTTCTAACAGATCTTGTACCAAAATAGCAAATGTAGCCATAAGAATTGTTGCTGCATATTAAAATAGTTTTATTTAGTTTTTGAACATGTTTGTTGGAGCAGTTATCCTTTTTATAGATTTTTGGAGATATTCCAACAGGTTTTATTATTTTGTATTTAATATCTTCTTAAAGATTGTTGAAAGGTTAATCTTTATTCAAGATAGTATTAAAATGTCTCACACTCATAGAAATTCTTGCCACCTTTCACTTCATTGCTTGTACTAGAATTTTGTCTTTTGGTTGCAGCAAAATCTAGAGGCTTGAGCTGAGTTTGGTTTCCTGGAGGAGTATATCTCTTCTCTTTATCAAGAAATCTTAATATTGCAACAGTCTTATAAGCATTTTGAAAGGGAGCTTGAGGGTCTTTGTCAGGCTGGGACAGTTTTCTTCAAGCTATAGAGTTGGAACAGAAAAGAGTTGAGCTCAGGTTGAAAATAGAAACTGGGTGGGAGTTGCTTTAACAAATGTTATCCTTGCTTCCAGCTGGTTCTGGAAAATGTTTTTCTTTTTAGATTTGGTTTTATTTTCTTTTCTTTCTAAACAATTCTTTTAATTCATAGAAAGGAACATGGTAGATACTAAGTTTGCTCTTTAGACCGGCGATAATATGTGATATGGATACTCTCTGAATCATCCATACTACATTATATTCTCTATTTGCTTTTTCTTTCTTTCTGGTGTGATCAAGGATCCAAGGATACTTGTTTCAGACAAGTTGAGAACTGGATTACCAAAGCATCTATATTCATGTTATGTAACCTAGGTACTGAATTTTTCAGTAACTAAAGAATGCTTCTATATATATGCTAGGTCACATGCTGATCAGTCAAAATATGGTTTTAAGAGAAAGAGGTTAATCGGAATAGCAAGAACTTTTTATTCCATTGTTCTAAGTTTAAAAACATTGTTTAGCAAGGTATTATGGATATAAAAGAGTCCTTTTAATTTTGGCTTTAACTTTCCTGTAAAGTGTTTATCTCTAGTGGCATCATATATTAATACCTTATCTCTGATTTTTAATTTTTTATATCTTGTTACTTTTTGATCAAATCTCTGTTTCTATTTTTGTTGTCTCTTGTGGATATTTCTTCTTGCTTATTTTTGTTGCTATAGGAGGTCTTCTAATAAAATATACAATCGGTTAAGAATTGTTGGTTGCAATATTTCATCTATATCTGTTGTAGGCATTTGTGGTTTTCATCCATAAAGTAAATAAAATAGTGTCATTTTTG